CCACTTACATGAAGTGGAGTTTGTTGCTCATAATCCATTCACCTTAGGATAAAGTTCTTTTATTGAAGTGTTTGTTTTATTTAAATTTGAATATTTGCACAAAGGGGCACCGAATGCATATGCACCATACAAGTAACTTGATTTGTGTGTGGACTGTGATGCTGCTCGGGTGCCCAAACTGAATCAGGTGGTTTTCTTAGGGGGTCACATCCTGAGACTTCGACCTAAATGTCTGATTCACAAGGCAATGGAGCAACGTCAAGAGCTACAGTACCATGGTAGCCGGTCACCATCAATTGATTCATACGCCATTCGTTCCATCCGAATACTGGAGCCCATATGGACCATTGGTTTGGAATCTTGGTTTTCCAACTCCTTTAGGTGAACTCTCTGTGTTCACTGACCCGGTTAAGGCGCTTTTCGTTCTTTCGATTTCGTTAAACAACTCCCTGGCCACGCGAAGGCATTGTGTAGGACTTCCATGACAGTGGTTGCATGCACATGGCCATATGAGTGCATTTCGAGAGGGCTAGCTGACTCTTCTAACCCTCGGCCGTACCAGTTCATTTGGACGCGTTCATCAGTTAGGAATAATAGTGTGTGTCTATAATCCATTTTTCATAACTAGTTCGAATTATTTCATAACCCTGGTTTAGTTTTATGTACAAATGACTATCCATCTTTATAGTATTTTGAATAAAAGAATGTCGACAGATTGACAGTTCGTCTTAAAATGTTTTATTTTTTTCGTTTCAAACTAAAAAATAATGAAATTGATTAGCATCAAATGAATCAATTGTTGTTTTAATGAATTAAGAGAATGAAACATTCAGTTTTCAATAGTTCTAAATTGTTTCTACTTCATGATTGATTGGATTGGATGATGTTCAATGAATAACAAATGACAGGATGAACATATGTCAATAGAAGACTGATCAATTACAGTCCTAAACATCAATAGAAAGATTTAAGTAAACAATACTCAATGAATTTAAACTTCACCCCATTATACAAGCAAGTGGCTATCAGAACTCAATAGATAAGTGGATAACACGATGGCATTTAAAACTAACAGTACTGGGTTTGAGTTCAAGAGTAAACATCTACTCTGAGATGTAGGTTCATTCATCTGACGATTCCTAAATAAGACGAAACGCACATCCTATTTAGTCGAAACAATATTACAATTAGGCATAAGATAAATTTAGTATAAATAGTTATCCGATACTGGTATACCAAGATAAGCATTCAACAATAATGTTCATCTAAATAAATCATTTCTAATAATATATCTATAATATTCATGAATATGTTATGGTATCTGTATTTGTACTGATAACTACAACAGTTGTCATATCCCTTATTTTATTTACGACAGATTAGTTAAATATAAAAGGGTTCTGTATTAATCAGATTAATATCTAGGCATAAAATAAAGCATAATAAACAAATAAACAAACGAAAAGCACCAGTTTATTTAACTGCCTCCAAATGCTCTGGTACAGCCAAGAGTAGGGAGAGTCCGCACTCCCTCTCGAAATGCTGTCACATGGTCACGCGGTTATGGCCTCTGCCATGGAAGTCCTACTCACTGCCTTCTCACAACACGGGTGTTGTTTAAGAAATTGAGAGGATAAAAAGCGAATGTCTGGCGCTTTAACCGGGTTGGTGGAAATCTAGAGTCCACCTAAAGGAGTTGGAAAACCCAGATTCCAAACCAATGGTGAACACGGACTCCAGTATCCTGAAAGAACAAATGGAGTATGAACTAATCGTTGGTAACCGGCTATCATGGGACTGTATCTCTTGACGTAGCTCTACTGCCTTGTGGATCAGACTTTCAGGTCGAAGGATCAGTGTGTGGCCCCCTAAGAAAACCACCTGCTTCGGTTTGGGCACCCGAGCAGCATCACAGCCCCCACACAATCAAATGAAATTTGTGTTGCGCATATGTATTTGGTGCCTCCTTGTACAAATATCTATGTGTTAAAATAAAAATAAAAAAAATAGTTTATTTAACTATGCAACGTTAAAAGTCTACCATATTCACAATAGTTATGGTCAATGACTTGGTAACTTTATACTGTAGCTGTACTTTATCAGTTATGTATGATCAGTGAAACTTTAAGTATTTATCCCTAAGCTAATGACTAATAGGTAAACAATAGATGTTTAATTGATTAGTATATAGTGATTAGTCTGTTATTTTGTCTCTCCATAATAATCAAAGAAATTTTAACTGGTTTCAATGGATGAACCTACGTTTAAAATTATTAATTCGTCCTCAATATGCGTCCTATAACCTTTCCAACGCTTCTTCCTCATTTCTTCCTCCACTCGAACCTGGTTTATTCTCTTCTACAGTAAGTTGTTGCTGATAATGTCTGGTCAACAGATCCGAAGTATTTTGCGCAGACGACTGTTGATAAACACTTGTATCTTCTGAATGATGGCTTTCGTCGTTCTCCAAGAACTGTGTTGACATTCGTATTTAGAATTCTTACTTTGTTGTTGGTTGACAGATGTTTTGAGTTCCAGATGTTCTTCATTTTTAAACATGCTGCTCTTGCTTTTCCGATCAGTGCATTCACATCTACAATCATGGTTCTACATTCATAGAAATCAGTTTACAGTTGACGAGAAAACTAATACCAATTAAAATGGTGATGAGTTAGTTAACATGAATACAAATTCAGAATTATTTATGTAACATAATCATTAAGGATTGATTAGAAAATTCAGCAGTAACTGAGAATGAGGTTATTCTAATGTACTGATGCATTATTAAGCAGTTGGGTTGAAACAGAAAACCAGTTTATATGTGAATTCATATACCTATCTCAGTTGATTCGATAGTTATCATAATTTCAGTGTAATGTGAGGATCGAACGTTCTAATATCTGAATAGTAGTTGTGGAGACTGTTAACATCAATCGGTTCATGGTTTTAATATCTGAATTATGATACTAATTTTTTCATTCAATATACTTTTGTTTAGATCACTTAGTACAATCTATAGAATCTGCATACGAATGTGTCTCTCAACGAAGAGTAAATAAACCTGTATTTAGCTAGTGAATTACGTAGTCATAATTATTCTTCGCAAAATATAATGTGTTAATGTTATAACTTGTTAATGTATAATATGATGATACCGCCAATTAGAGAATAGTGAATTATCGATCGGACCAATCATGCATGAAACACGTACGAGCAGTATACAGTTCTTATCAGTCCTGCTTACCGCCTAACCATGCCTGTTAAGTCCAGAACATCATTCGCAGTCTCTGCAATTTGAATCATGTATTTCGAACATACGGGGTTTATATACAAACCAAACAGACCACATCTTACGATAAAATAGGAAACAACATTTGTACAAGATTTGGTCGAATGTGGCTGTGAATGTCGGAGGTAGTGAATAATAGACAGGGCATAATTGAAGAATGGTAAATCGTGTAATAACAGTTCATAGGTCAAAATAAAACTCATAACGAGAGGGACACGAATATGAATAGTTTAGTCATTTAACAATTATACGATAAAAACATACGCATAGTATTGATCCATAAATGGATCCCAAAAGTTACCATTCATTATTCTGATCGGGACATAACATTTCATAAAGTATATAAAATGGCATTAACAGTATTATTCCCTAATTATAAAGTTAGACGACACTGGTTTGTACCCCACATAAAACATCATTACCCTCTGGATTACAAGTATGACATATTAATAAGTATTGACTAGCATGATATCCAGGTCTTATATTTTTTGTTCTTAACTACCTCTAACCACCTAATACCTCAACACAGTGAACGCGAAATTTTCTCACTTAAACAAACGGTCACATTGTAACTTAATAGATTGAATTCGATCAACTCTAAGAACTAAATAAACACTGCACTACTCAATAATCAGCCAATGTAATGGTAATCATTACTGAGATGGTGGCAAAGATTTGTAGCTCAAGTGGATGCGTCTGATGGAGTTTTGTTCTCTGAGCTGGATGGTTTGATCTTAGAGCTTTCATTGTTCTTCTGAACGACTTCTATCTGAAGTTTGTGCTGATGATGTCGTTCAGAAGAACGATGAAAGCTCCACGACCAAACCATCAAGCTCAGAGAACAAAACTCCATCAAAAGGTAATCTGGATACAGTAGGAAATCATAAGCAAAATATCCACACAAAAAATACTTTAGAAAATAGTTCACCAAAGGTACACTCTAACTGAGAAGAAAAATCAAAATATGGTAAAATAATACTTATATCTAACTATAAAACTCTATAGAAGTTCGGCATTCCCAAATTCCATTGTTCTGATTATGTACTGGACAAAGTAGCATAGAGTTCTGGCATTACCAAGCTATACAAAAAAAGAAAATGAAATTACTCTTAACTACTATGTTGTATTTTTCTAATTTTACAGTATTTAATCTAGTGATATAAACTGAATAAGTACCTATTACATATAATAGATATTATAAGTGAATTAGAATAAAATGGACAGAGACAGCAATTTGGAAGACTCTCCAGGTTTACTACATTGTACAAGCGTTCCACGTATCTAAATTTTTGATTACTCTGTTTGTCAGAAGGGGCATCAGCCTCGTGACTTTCGAACGAACTCGACTTTCGTCATAACTCTTCTAAATGAAGACTTTCTAACTACCAGGGCAGAGTTTAAATGGTTTGAGTTATTTTTTATGGTTATAGTATTTTTAGCGAGTTAGTGTTCTACGGGATGGTGTCGCTAACCCCATGTCTAACCCTCTTCTCCTTTATCCGGGCTTAGGACCGGCAGTAACCCCAAGGGGGGCTCCAGGAGGACATTCCTACCAAATGTCAGTGATTTTTACCTTAAGGATTGTGAAATAATGTCATTAAATGTTATTTACTTACCAGAGATTGATCAGTCAAATTCATTTATAACCTGATAATTTAGATCATGTTTAACTTTAATATGTATTAACTAATTTAACTTTTCCTTTCATTAGGGTAATTGGATTCATTTATTGAAATTGGCACGTTTACTTCGATTGGCAAGATTATTTCAAAAAATTGAACGATATTCTCAATATAGTACAGTAATATTGGGTTTACTAATGTGTATGTTCTTTCTTGTTGCTCATTGGTTTGCTTGTGGATGGTATTGTATTGGTAAAGAGGAATTTAAGTCGAAAATTACAAGGGAATACAGTAAGTTAATTATTATGTATATTTATTAATGCAAATAAGACAAATTTATTTATTTATTTCTTTAAACATATACACATTGATACAAGGAATCACAAAATAGATCGATTTATGTGAGAGCTGCGATACTGCCCGGGTGCCCAAAACTGAAGTAGGTAGTTTTCATAGGAGGTCACACCTGGAGTCTTCGACTTGAAGGTCTGATCCACAAACATTGGTACAAGGAGGCACCAAATAGATCAATTTATGTGAGGGCTGGGATATGGCTCGGGTGCCCAAATCGAAAAGGTGGTTTTCTTAGGAGGTCACATCCTGAGACTTCGACCTAAATGTCTGATTCACAAGGCAATGGAGCAACGTCAATAGATACAGTCCCATGGTAGCCAGTCACCAACGATTGGTTCATACCCCTTTTGTACCTTCAGGATACTGTAGTCCATGTGCACCACTGGTTTGGAATCAGGGTTTTCCAACTCCCCTAGGTGAACTCTCCATTTTCACCAATCCGGTTAAAGCGCCGAATATTCACTTTACGTTCTCTCAATTTAGTAAACAACACCGCTACTGCGAGAAGACATTGAGTAGGACTTTCCTGGCATTGATTGTATACACGTGACCATATGAAAGCATTTCAAGAGGGAAAGTTGACTGATAATGATGTCTATATCAAAATCATACATCCAGTCTTTTAATCCATTCAAAAAAATAACAATGAATATAGTTAGAATTCAATTATTCTAATTTTATACTCGTTTTTTCTCTCCTCATTTACTGTATTGTAATAAATTTTCGATAGAAACAAAAAAAGAAAATAGTTCACTTATAAATGAACAAAAAAAAACAATCAATAATGAAATACTTGTCTTTTATTAATTCCTATAGGGATTTGTTAATCACTAAGGGCAAAAAATGGTTCATTATGTGTCTCTAAGACAAAATTACTTTTTTCTAAAACAAAAATAAAATTGTAGGAAAACAGGTTGTAAAATTCTTTTATCTATTCACACACACACACACACCCTGTGTTCGTATTTATATGTTTGATAATCATGATAGATAAATCAAGTTGCCGTATAATACCGAGATAAACTTGTGAGATAGGCATTCACTGATGATAATGTTGGATATGTCACTCAATTTCGTAGATTAGTTGAAGTTAAACATTAACACTGTTGGATGTCATCCAGCACAATGGTCTAGTGGTTAAACGCTCACATGTGAGACTGGTAGGTCCTAGGTTGGAATCTTACGAGGCGGGATCATGAATGCGTACTACTGAGGAATCCCATACTAGGACGAAACGGCCATTCAGTGTTTCCAGGTTTTCCATGGTGATCTAGCTTTAATTGAATCATAATCTCAATTATTGAATCTTATATTTCTCAGGAATATTTTAGCTTTCATGAATATACTAATTAAATTACTTGAAGTGAAAATAAATTACTTGTGGATAAGCTATATATTGAGCATAAAAAAGACATCACAAAAGTTATATTAATGAAAATCAAATGATAGAAAATATTTTAGTATGAATAAGTAACTATTCAATGTTTTTTTTCTTTGGAATTGAATCAACAAAAGGTATTGGGATTAAGTGACTTTTGCATCTATTAATATTAATGTATCAGTCTGTTGGAGATGTTAGATCCCTAGAACTCACTTTAAAAAGGACCTAATTTTGTAATTTTATTTAGGAAATTTGAATTTCCTTGTTTTCGCGCCAAAGGCGCTCTTGTCACCATCACGTCGTATTTCTCACTAGGAAATATCTTAAATGCTATTGGTCCGTTGCGTCTTTTAGTATGCTATTGTGTAACTCTCCCCAAGGACGGTTTTGTACTGTATATATACGTTTTGAATTGTGTTTGTTGTTATCTCTCGTTTCTGGCTGTTTGCAGAATATACTTCTCCATTCCATGCTTGGACTTCTCCCTCTAGTTAACGGGGCTGGGACGCATCAAATAGCTAGCTTAATGGTCTTGGTCATTGAGTCTTGTTCTCGTTCGCAGATCGAGTGAACTCGTGTTAGCTTTAAACCTAACACAGTTAGTAATGTTTTACATCTTTTTCAACCGTGTCAGTAGTGCAAATTCTTTGAGTCCTCTTAAAGAGACACTTGATTAAGCTTCGCTTGTATTGAGATGGACAAAGACTGGAAATTTAAGTATTGATCCGTCAAGGTTGGTTTCCTTTACACTGATCGTCTTATAGTACTATCCTTCCTTTCACTTAAAAGTATGTCTAAAAAGGCCAATTGGCCATTATTTTCTGCTTCATAGGTCGTTATGATACCGTTTTGAACTCCAGTGGGTTTATCTAGTAACCGAGAAATCTCAAAATGTACCATTAACAAAGACTGTGGAATTCCTTTGTAACTATATATCTACCCATCCTCCCTTTTTTTCCTGTTCGGTCACCATTGTTGAAAGAATTACTTTTATTATGCACTGTTCAGTTCACGTTTGATGGCGAATATTTTCGGCAAGTTGATGATGTATCCATGAATAATTCTCGGAATTTTCTCGTCTTTACCTGAATGAGATGTTAATTTGTTTGAGAGGAATATCTACACTAGATTCCCTTTCAGTGTCTATTCTACAGGACTTCAACACAACTCAGATCAAGAACACATGATTAGCCTTACTACAGCGTAAGTATATTTCCACACCAAAAACTGACACAATTCGACACAATCCAACACAATAATGATAAGAGTAAGGGAAGATGTATAACTCATCTAGTACCTGTCAGACTATATACCAGTCTGACTCAGCAGGCAATCAATCTTTATCATTCTCATCCACATATCACTATCGGATTTCTCATCAGTGTGGTCATACAACTCCATCAAGGATAGAATCCAGGAACCTCACATCATGTAATGAACGTTTGACGATTAAAATATTGGATCGGAGTACAATAGTTTGTCGCTGTACATTGTATACTGACATTAACCATTAGGTCTACTGAAGATCAGGGATTCAATTACTGATGGGGTTGTAGATGTGAGCTTCTGAGGTGCCTCATATTAGAACGAAACATCTTTACTGTTATCCATGTTTCCCGATGATTTTCACATTGAGATCAGTCTTTGTCCAATATAACCTGCAAACTTAGCATATCTTGCTAATTATTCCCATTCTATGGTGTCTCTCTGTATAAAAACCTTTATTAACCGAGTATATTACGACTACATTCCCCCCCTCTATACTGTTCAAAAAATATCCAGATATTTATTGATTGTTAAATGTGTTGTGACAATAAGTTCTGGTTAGTTGATTCAATAGTTTATCTTAAATAAAAAGTTTATGTCATTAGAGGCAAATGGCCGGTATCTCTGGATGATAGTTTTTGGTCTGTTGTCACTTGTCAACAAAATGTACATGCAGTTTTGAAAAACATAGTCATACATATTACCACTTGACTATCTAGGTCACGACTGAACTTCTTCAAGACTGATATATTCATGTTGGTTGATAATTAAGTAGTAACGAATTTGATTTTTGTCTAGAATTGATTCTTAATCAAATTCTGTCGATCATCTATCATATAACGTTGGATGGATATCTGTTAAATTTTACTGTAACATTTAGTCCCGTTAACATGATCATATTCTTATTTAGTTTGTAATAAAAGCTTAATGAAATTAATTAGGTCACTTTGTAATAACATAGTAACGTAGTGAGAACTCAGAGATTGGAGATATGGATTTACTTGACTCCCCCCCAAATCAAAGTGATGTACGAATACACTACTTTTGTATTATTTGTTTAAATCTTCCATTGATGTCTAAAAATGCAATTGATCAGTTACTTATAGGCATTTGTGCATCCTGTGCGGATTTCCTCGATATTTCCTTGACTCAATAGCTCAGTAAATAAACCCCTGGCATTTGAAGCGAATAGTACTAGGTTTGAGTTTCAGAGTGAACATTGACTTCAGGATTCAGAATGAAACTCACGTCCTGGATTCCACTGCTAACTACCATCTATCTCTGAACTGAATAGTACTTAAAATTGATTCATCAATAACATATTGTGTGAATACATATTTATCATGTCATATAATTAATCAACGGAATACACCCATTAAGACATTAAATAAGAAAGATTAGTTCAGTGAAGAGTTCCCTTTTCAGCGAATTCATTTCCAAAGCTGTGCAGTGGCACACCTATATATACTTATATTAACAGGATGATAATAATACTGATAATAAACTTCTGTTAGACATGGTGACAGTGAGGTTAAATAAACAAAGGTATTAAAAAGGTTTTTTATAAAACAAGGAAAGTTTAATACTCGTTTGATTGTTAATGGCTTAAGTATACATCAAGAGATAGATAGATAAGGAAATTATCATTGGGAATGGATAGCTCATCATGATAAGATAAAATGTTGAGACAGAGAGCCGGGTTCTCATCAGCCGAAAAAGAAAATTGATAATGAAACTCGCTACAAAGAATACGACGAATCTGTAGTCACGAAGTCATAGATGAAGAACTGGGCCACTTGAAGGAGATACTTATTAAGAACGGATATCCTTCGATATTCATTGATAAGAACATAAAGCCGAAAACGCCAAAAACACAGATAACTACAGTAGAAAAGAAAACTTTATACATGAACATCGAATTTAAGGGTGACAGAGCCACACACACACCCCAAAAAGGAGAACTTCCGATTCCTTAAAAAGAACATTCTTTGCAGCAACATTGCGAATATTATTCTCCAGCCGATCATTGTTCACCAATAATCTGAAAGATAAATTATCACATATGACCAACTCAATGTGCATTTATCCATTTACCTGCTCATGTGGAACTAGGTATATAGATCGTTCGATGCGTACTTTATCCAAAAGAATTCAAGAACATTATCCAGCATGGCTAAAAAGAGGAGGAAGCGGTTCAATAAGAAGCTCAGTAATCGAACACTCTGTGAACACGGGTCACTTAATCAAGACGGACTCTGCGTTAAAAGTTATCTACAAGGTAAGTAGAAGTCTCCCTAAAACAATTAGACTGCATCTTCTTTGCATTGCCAAGGCATTAACCATACATCTGGAAAGACCAGAATTGTGTGTGCAAAAGCGACTGGTACAATTTCTTCCACCATTGTCCTGATGTCTCATAATTTTTATCTTTTATTTTTAATCTTCTTCTTTTTCTTCTTCATACTCTTCTTCCTTTACTGCCATCTGCTTCACCCTACATCTTCCCCTTAAATTTTCTACCCCCAACTGGTTCATTTTGTTTCCACGATCCTCCTGATTCCATTTCATCTCTATTTCAACATTTTATCTTATCATGGTGAGCTATCCATTCCCAATGATAATTTCCCTATCTATCTATCTCTTGATGAATACTTAAGTCATTAACAATCAAACGATTATTAAACTTTCCTTGTTTTATAAAAAACCTTTTTAATACCTTTGTTTATTTAACCTCACTGTCACCATGTCTAACAGAAGTTTATTATCAGTATTATTATCATCCTGTTAATATAAGTATATATAGGTGTGCCACTGCACAGCTTTGGAAATGAATTCGCTGAAAAGGGAACTCTTCATTGAACTAATCTTTCTTATTTAATATAATTAATCATCTATAATTAAAAAATATAACGAAATAACAAAGTTGCACAGTAACTCATTCTCAAATTATGACATGTCATAGATAATTGTAGGAAAGCTAATCTTATATATCATTCGTACTTCAATTAATTAATCAAGGTAATTAGCACAGGATACACATATGTGTTATAAACAACTATAGGAAGATTCGAAGCAACAGTACATAAAATAAATTTACCCATTATATAACATGTTATGAAGTCAATTTTATTTGAATTTCAATGTTCAAGGTGATAGACATTTTTCAACTATTTTAAACAAAGATGAACAGTGGCCAGGACGAAACGCGCGTCCTGAATTCCACTGTTAGCCACTATCCATCTTTGCTTATAACGCTTGTAAATTAAAGGCAATATCGAGACATATGCACAGTATGCACATATGCCAATAAGAGACTGATCAATTTCAGTCCTAAAAACATCAATGGGAAGATTCAAGTAAAACAATATCATGTGAATTTTTCAATTATACCTATAAATGATATTCATTATGGAAGAGCGATTAGAAAAACTCTTTTCTTTTTTGAAGTTATCTGCCATAAAACGTTTATTGATCGATGAAAAAAAAGAAAAGAAAAGAAAAGAAACAGGAATCTGTATAACTTTTAACTACATTTTATATCTTGCGCCTTAACTAGATAGATACCATACAATCTATTCACAATTAAATTACCATGAAGGCAAATGAACTTTAAAGAGAATAATGAGATGATAGGCAAGCATTTGTTAAACAAAAAAAAAACAAACCAAAACGACTTAAACTAAACAATAACCTTTTTTTGTTTGTATTCTTATTGATAAATGATTTTAGTTTGAATGTATCTATGCAAATTTTCTATAGTTTATTGATTAAATCTATTGGTGAAACTATAATTTATGATTGAATCAATCATATTTGGAATAACAGATCTTGGGTTATGGCACGAAATCCATTTGTAGTGAACAAGAACACCAGTGGGGAACAATCGAATGTATTTAACACAAAATTACAGGACTTGTTCATAAAATCTAACAATCATAAAGTAAATGGTTAATTTGCAAAATGTCCACCAATTGTCTCAAAATAATGATTCAGACTTGATCGCGCTTGCATTTTCATACAAATTGCATTCTGTTCCCATTCTTTACTGTTCGATCCTCTTGTCTTTCTGCTGCCAGACATTCTGTTCACGACTAACATCATATACTACTCATGTCAATATAAGTAGCACACATCCCACATTCACCCACTTAGTTAAATAGAGTTTTGGTATTATAGCTGATGCCAATTCGTGATGAAAACCATAAACCTAATTCCTAACCCTAATCATCAACTGTAAATCATAAGTCTAATTCCTCAAACGGGTTTATAACACTCATTTAGTTCTAGTTATGTGCTGGGCACTTCCAAGGTCACTTTAGCTTCGCTTAAAGATCGTCCATAAATTATAGTCTCATCGATTGTATTGTAGTGTGGGCGGCCTGCTTGAGCATCTGGGCTACCTGTTCCTGCCATCTAGATATTTCAACAAGTTATCTATTGTTGTTTGTTTTAATATATCATTATGTTTATTAATCGCATAACCTATTCTGCTGCGTTTCTGAAAAGTGTACAACCTTTCGTTGTCAAAGTTACAGAAAACTCAATAAGAGACAATATGGTTGCTGGCAATGTACAACGAAAAGAATGTACATTATTCAGTTGTTCATTCACTGAAGTGCTAACATCTAACTGGCGATTCCTCAATATTTATCACCAGGACCGACCAAGAAGAAAGAAACGGAAATTTGTTGAAATACTTTGCGCTGAGAATTCTTTATTGTACCAAAATTATAATATTGAATAAAGCTAATAATAATAATAATAATAATAATACTTATATCCACATAAGTAGTACATAACGTTGGTTGAGCATATAATGTATTTCAGCAGAAGATCGACAAGGAAAAAACGGAAACAGAACGCAATTGGTATGAAAATGCATGAGCAATGAAATTTGAGACAATAAACCGATATTTCTAAAAGAAACAGTGAAGTTTGAGACGATGGATTGATATTTTGCAAATTAACTATTTACTATATGGTTCTTAGATTTCATTGAAATACCCTGTAGTTCGTCTTAAATATGTTCGATTGTCCCCATCGGTGTTCTGTTCACAAGAGTATAAGCAAATATCATAGCAATGAATATAGAACTTTATTAGTTTTGCTATTACTTCTAGTCTTTTGTATGAAATACCTATAACTAATCATGTTATAACTTGTGACCTCCGATTACAGAGCAACGACCTATCGATCGTACCAACGACGCGCAAACCCGTATAAGAAGCCTAGAATTTTGATTAGCTCTGAATACCGCCTAGCCCAGCCAGTTAAATCCAGAACACGGTCTCTAACAGATCAGTAAAGGTGGATATGCACTGTTGAGGAGTTCCACAATAAGACAAAATAGCCGTCCAATGAATTCCAGGTTTTCCATAGTTATCTAGCTTCAATTCATTCATGATTCCAACTATTGATATAATATTATGAATAGAAATTAATTTATGTCTAACAATAATATAATGGATTTTAAATAAACAAGTGAACAAAACATAAACTTCTCTTTGTTTCTCTATATTGGGTAATGAAAATAGGAAAACATGTCTAGAATCGATATAGTTCTCATACTCATTCATTCAACCGTTATAAATTCATTTTATCATGTTTATCACTTAGTTACTATTATCTTTATATCTTTTGAAAATTCTTGTTTTCAATAAATAACAAGAGTTAAACGCTAATAGAGAACAATAATCTCATATATGTTGATATACTGGAGTTTGCGTAGCAACTATGCATAGTTTGTAGTAATTAAATATTCAAATAATGAAGTATATCCTGTAATATGTGTGCTACTTATATTGACATAAATAGTATCAGAAGGGGTTTTATGGAGATTGTAGTAATTTCAATAGTTAAGATCATGAGTCAATTGAAGTTAGACCATCATGGATGAATAATGTTGAGGAGTCTCACAATTGGACGATACGGCCGTCCAGTGCTTCGAGGTTTTCCGTGATGGTCTAGCTTTAATTGATTCATGATTTCAACTATTGAATTTACATCAGTAGTATATAACAAGAATCAGGAATAGAATGTTTGATTAAATATACATTACATTACTCTTCATAAATGATCTATTTTACAATTGTGTTTCTACAAGTGTTTTTTTTTCTTTTGGTTTGTTTTATATTCAATAGGTTGGTTATATGAATTAGGTGAACGAATGCAATTGAATCGTTCATATTCAGCAATGAATAAAACGAATGGATTAACTAGACGTGCATTATATGTATCTAGTTTATATTTTACAACAACTAGTTTAACTAGTGTTGGATTTGGTAATGTATCACCGAATACAGTAAATGAGAAAATATTTGCTGTGATAACTATGCTTATTGGAGGTAAGAAATGAATTTTATTCAAATGATATTTAGTATTACACATAATTTGGTGATTGTTTTAGGCTATTCAAAAGTAAACATCATAAATTAATATTAATATTAGAAGGGGTTTTTGTGAATGTTATAGTAATTTTCATTGTTGAGATCATGAGTCAATTGAAGGTAGACAATCGTGAAACGCCTTGATATTAACATCGTTAGATGTCGGCCGGCTCAGTGGTCTAGTGATTAAGCGCTTGACTCACAAGTCTGATATGTCCTCGGTTGGAATCTTAGGAGGCAGGATTGTGGATACGCACTACTGAGGAGTCTCACAATAGGATTAAAGGTCCATCCGGTGCTTCTAGGTTTTCTATGGTGTTCGACCTTCAATTGACTCATGATCTCAACGATTGAAATTAATATTAAACTTTAAAGAGTATATTATCATCGCATAAACATCGTTTTATTTACAAAAAAATTCATTAAGAAAGTCAACAAAATGATAATTAAGTGGTAGAGTTAATTTTATATGTTATAAAAATCTATGCATGATAAATACAGCTCATAAACAGTAAAGGGAATTGAAACATAAAACGTTTACTCACTTACTTACTTACTTACGCCTGTTAATCTTCATGGAGGAGCATAGACCAGCCACCAGCATTGTACATCCGATTCTGTCCTAGACAATCCTTTCACGTTATTTCCAGTTGCTATTCATCATTTTTCATGTATGTTTCCTGTTCTTTGATCTTTCTCTTTCCCGTTTACCTTCAGGATTCCAAGTTAGAGCTTGCCTCATGATTCAGTTTGATAATTTCCGTAATGTATATCACATTCACTCCCACTTCCTCCTCAGCTGGAAGTTAGTTTGTTCTCTCTCATAGTAGGCTGTTGATGGTGGTGTCTGGTCAACGGACATTGAGGATCTTACGTAGATAATTGTTTATAAATGCTTATATATTTTTGATGATGTTTGCAGTAGTTCTCAAAGTTTCAGCTCCAAACAGTAGAAGAACTGTCTTGACGTTCGTATTGAAGATTCTGACATTGATGTTGGCTTGCAGACAATTGTTTCGAGTTTCACATGTATGGACGAGCATAGTCATCTGTGAAGCCCAAATCGTCTAGTTGAGTGCATGCTGTCTATTGTATTCCGCGTTTCTCCTAGAATGTGGAAGTCTTCATAATCCATTCGGCCACCAGAAGAAATAAAATAGGGTGAGAGTAGGCAGTCTTCTCTGATTCGGATCCTCACTTGGAATGCGTTTGTCAGCTGTCGCTTATGCGCAACTTCGCAGTGCAGTCCGTCATATGAATTCCGTATGACTTCGACGATCTTCTTCGGTACACTATAGCATCGAAAAAGGTTCCATAATATTCTTTTATCCACACATGCAAAATTTTAAAAATCATATTTTATCCAAACTTCAAAAGCTGATAGTGTATAAATGTAACTTCCTTACTGTGAACCATTCTATCCTACATCAAATGTATCGTTTTCAAGTATTTATTAAGACTGTTGTGTGAATTCTGACAATAAATCTGCACCTATCAACATGGCTTAGACCAGCAGTCCTTATTCATATCATATTATATCTCCATGTTCCTACTCCGTGCTGTTATCAACCTCTTATTATGTCAGATAACTTTATCCTTTAGGTTAGGCATTAGGTAGTTACTGACAAAACGCTACCTAACAACTTCAGCTGATGAAGTGTTTTACTCTCATAAACCGACTTTTCTTTCCTTTTTTAATTAGTTTCTTTTAATATAACTCACATGGTACTCAAATCATAAATAAACAAAGCCATCGATAAATCGACATTTATAGCTTACTTAATTTTACTAACTTCATAAGTGATAGCTTAGAAGGAATCCATGAATTTTTGTCTTGTTTAATTCACTCAGTCAGTCAGTAACAACGTAGAACTTCGTATGTACGTAAATATCAGTTCAAGTTGCCATACCACATTAGCACAGAGATGTAGTTGTGGATTCGAATCCCATAGTGGTAGAGGTTGTAAAAGTACAAGCAGTAATCGCAAAGATTAGGGTTTGAAGATGTTATTCAAGGAGTATAATTCAGTGAAATAAATTTGGAAAGTGGAAAATTTGAGAGAACACAAAAGAGTGAATGTATCTGTGTCATTGTAAACGATTCTGAACCATGTCAATAATACATCAATAAGTTTAATCATTCCTTATATTAGTAATTTAGATCTTTTGCAAAAGGATTAAAGTCACAATACATATTCATCTCAATAAGCATAATAATTAGGGAAAAAAGAAACAAACTAAGCTTAATCAACAAACTATAAGTTTCCAGTCTAATAATTTGATCATTTTATTCCTAATCAACTTCGATCTTACTTCAGTCGATATTAAATCAACTCTTATTTATAATGATTTAAACGCATTGATGCATATGATAATAAGTAACTCAAATGAATCTCATTTCCATATTGAATAAGGTATAGTTTTCTTTTACAATGATATACACATTAAATCATATAGTTGATCATTCACTTTAAAGAAGAATCTCACTATTTATGTCTTATATGACATAGCTTATAGGTTATATTTCAAACTATAGAACTAGATACCCTGGGTTCATGTTAGATCTCGATGAGAAGAATGAATGGTAATTTTCGGGACCTATTTATGGCCCAATACTATACGTATATTTTTATCGTATAATTGTTAAATGACTAAACTATTCATATTCATGTCCCTCTCATTATGAGTTTTATTTTGACTTATGAACTGTTATTATACGATTCATCATTCTTGAGTAATGCTTTGTCTATTAATCACTACCTCCCACATTCACAGCCACATTCGACCAAATCTTGTACAAATGTTGTTTCCTATTTTATGGTAAGATGTGGTCTGTCTGGTTGGTACATAAACCGAGTATGTTTGAAATATATGATTCATATTGCAGAGGTTGAGATTGGTGTTCTGGACTAAACAGGCATGGTTAGGCGGTAAGCAGGACTGATATGGACTGTATACTGCTCGTACGTGTTTCATGCATGATTGGTCTGATCGATAATTGATTGTTCTCTAATTGGCGGTATCATCATATTATACATTAACAGGGCACACAGGAGACAGGTTATAACAGTTCAAATCACAAAAAGAAGGGTCACTTATATCAACATTACAGATACGTCATGGTGACAAGTCTTAACTGACATTGAATTCAAGACCTCTACCTGAAGTTTGTGCTGATGATGTCGTTCAGAAGAATGATGAAGTCTCCATGACGAAACCATCCAGCTCAGAGAATAAAACTTCATCGAATTCCAGTCTAGGATATCCTACCAACTATCTCTGAACATTTAAAATTAAAACTCTATATCAAAATAGTACTGTTTTATAATCTAATTTACCTACGTCTGTTACTCCTCGTAAAGTAGCATAGGCCGCTTACCAGCATTCTCCATCCAACCCTATCCTGGGCAATCCTTTCCATCTCTTCCCAGTTGTTGTTCATCTTTTTCATGTCTGCTTCTATTTCCGACGTAATGTGTTCTTTGGCCTCCCAATTTTCCGCTTCCCTTCAGGATTCCAAGTTTGGGCTTACCTCGTGATGCAGTTTGATGATTTGCGTAATGTATGTTCTATCCATTTCCATCGTCTTTTCCTAACTTCCTCTTCAGGTAGAAGCTGGTTTGTTCTCTCCCACAGAATTGTGTTGCTGATGGTATCCAGCTAATGGATGTTGAGTATCTTGCGTAGACAAGTTTTATATTCTATTATTGTATAAATATAACTGACTGGGATTTGTACAAGAAATGGATTATTTTAAATAACAGTATTTGAGTTTAATTCTCTTAGCAATCATGTACCATGTTCCATCATAAATTATGTTGAAGGATTGATTATTATAAGTTTGATATAAGTTGATGTTATGTATAATTTTGACCGTCAGACAAATCAAGAACAGAGAAGCAGCAGGACCCGACAACATACCAGCTGAAGCACTGAAGTCAGACATCGAAATAACTACAAACATGCTTTACCTTCTATTCAAAAAGATTTGGGAGGAGGAACAAGTGCCGATGGACTGGAAAGAGGGACACCTCGTCCAGATTCCAAAGAAAGGAGATCTGGGCAAATGTGAAAACTACAGAGGCATTACACTACTGTCAATACCAGGGAAGGTCTTCAACAGAGTGTTGCTGAACCGGATGAAAAACGCGGTAGACGCCCAACTTCGAGATCAACAAGCTGGATTCCATAGGGATCGGTCGTGCACAAACTAAATTGCAACACTACGGATCATCGTCGAAAAATCAGTTGAGTGGAACTCAACACTATACATCAACTTCATTGGTTATGAAAAGGCATTTGAAAGTGTAGATAGGAAGACGTCATGGAAAATTCTTCGACACTACGGAGTTCCTGAGAAGATTGTCAACATTATCCGGAACTCATACGATGGACTACAGTGCAAGGTCGTGCTTAGAGGACAGCTGACAGATGCATTCCAAGTAAGGACCGTAGTCAGACAAGGCTGTTTACTCTCTCCCTTCCTCTTTCTTCTGGTGGTCGACTGGATTATGAAGACTTCGACATCTGAAGGAAAACACGGAATACAATGGACAGCTCAGAACCAATTAGACGATCTGGACTTCGTAGATGACCTAGCCCTCCTATCACGTACACGTGAACAGATTCAGATAAAGACAGCCAATGTAGCAGCAGTCTCTGCATCAGTAAGCCTCAGCATACACAAAGGGAAAACCAAGGTCCTCAAATTCAAAGCAGAGAACAGCAATCCAATCACTCTTGATGGCGAAGGAACACATTACGTCGGATAATAGAAGCAGACATGAAAAAGATGAATGACAAATGGAAGGAGCTGGAAAGGATTGCCCAGGACAGGGTTGGATGGAGAATGCTGGTGAGCGGCCTATGCTCCTTCACGAGGAGTAACAGGCGTAAGTAAGAATGTATAATTTCAAATTATATAGATTGATAATAAGCATAAGTCGGTGTCTACATAT